ACTGAGCCCCCCCCCCCTCCCCAAGAGTTTCAGGTGCAGCGTCCGATTTCTTCACTCTGTGCAGCCTTCAGCTGCCTCCCTGGGTTACGTTTCATATACTCGTGTGGCGGCCTTCTGCCGCCCTCCCCGGCACACGCACTTCCTGCCTTTGGACCCAAGTGTGTTTACCAGCATTACCGTCTGCATGACAGCGCTGGGGCGTGTTGCGTGCAGGCCATAGTTGGCCCCTGGCCCCGCTGTAGTTGTTTTCACCTCTGGCCCTGTCGGACTTCGCCCCCCGGCCTCGCGGCTCTGTGACCGACGCAAAGATGGCTTCGCCTCGTCACTGTCCAGAACCGCACTCTCACTCCCTGGGCTTCTTCGTGACCGCTGGCTGTTGCTTGGGCTGCAGCTGGTAAGCGGCAGCACAGCTTTCCCAGAGCGCCATCGTCTTACACTTCACTCTGGTACGCCAGGGTACCAAGGATAGGCGGCTCTGTGTATGCTCGTCACGCTAGATGCTCCCTGGTACGCGTCCCTGCTCATCTCCGGTTGGCAGTCGCCTGCGACTTGTGCCTGGTAGAGGATTGGGACAGTTGTACCTTCCGCATAGCGTCACATCATGTTACCTGATGGCTCGCTTGCGAACGCATCTATTTGAGGTTGTCTCCTGGGCCTGACGTGCTTCGTTCGGTTACAGACACCACGAATTTCGCGCCTTTTGGCTGCGTTGGTGCGTACTCTGAAGCTGCGACGGTTCGCTGGCGCTGTCAGAGTCCAACCTCTCCTACGGTATGCAGTCTGGCGACAGCTTGCGTGTCTCTCGGTCGCTTCTGCTTGAACATGGCAGACACCCTGGGGCCCCTTGGTACGCCATTCCCGCGCCGAGGTTGGCTGACTCCCTACTGTTCAGATATCCTTGACACGGTGGGGGTCTTGCATCGCGCCACTTTGGCAGCGTAATTACTGTTCCCTGGGTGCTGGTTGCCGTCAGAATCCCTGGGCTGCAGCACCCTTGCACCCGCCGCATGGCGCCGGCCGCGCTCGCGCGCGCTTTCGGCCAATTTGTAGCGGCCGCAGCCCGACCTTTACCCGCCGCCGCTGGCGCTTCCGCCCGCGGCTGTAGAAAAAAAGGATCCCCCCCAGTGTTCGTGCCCCGGACTTTGCTTTTGCCGCCTGACCCTTATCTCGCGGCCGCGACCAAAAAAGTATCTCCCCCAGCCAATCCAGAAACGATGTCCAGGCGAGTTGCGGCGATCAGGGAAGTTCTGGATCATGCAGTCGGACAAGTAGGGGTCGCCGCCGTCAAACCGAATTTCATGATCAGCCTGAGCAGGCCCATGAGTGAAGCGTAAATGCCTTCGCGGATCGTTCTATATGGGAGCTTTTTGGCAGCCTGCGTGGGCCATCTTCGCGTCATTTTGGAAGTATTTGGGGCCCTCTTGTGGTTCTCTTCGAGCTCCCTTGGGAGCCCTCGTCGGGCCATCTTGGGGGGAATCGATCAAATCACGGGGGTTCGGTCTGGTTGCGGCCGCTCTTGGGCGTTTTTTGGGCTGGCTTTTGCCCCTCTCAGAGCTGTCTTGGCTATAGGAAGCGAAAAGGCGCGAAGGCAGCACCCATTGATTTGTCTGAAATTGCGCAAGGACGTGGAGCTCTCGGGGGGAACCTTGGGGGGGTCCGTGGCCACTTGGGGCCGTCCTGAGACGGTCACGGCGCGTTTTGCAAGCATGGTGGAGGCTGTGTTGAGCCATCCTGGGCTACACTGCACCATCTTGGAGGCCACCTTGGGCAATCTGGGGCCGTCTTGGAGCCATCTCGGGCCATATTGGTTGTCCTCACCCCTTGCGGACCCCCTAGAGACCCAGGGAGAGGGGTGTAGGGGGAGAAATAAAAAGTACACCTCTCTCCGAAGGGGAAGAAAGAGGTTGGAATAAGTAGTTGCCTGTACCACCTACGCTCGAAGGACTGCTGGGATTTGAGACGTAGCTCATTGCCCGCCACCAACCTCCACCTCGGCATCCGTCGGCCGACATTTGCAGCGAACCAGGCAACTGCGCATTGCCTTTCGAAGTTGAACCACGCTGAATTCAAGGTCAGAGTTTCTACGCAGAGTCGTGCCGCATCGATTCACGATCGCAGTCAAGTTGCTCCAACAGTTGAGGAGGAGGAGCAGCAGCAGCAGATGGCGTAAATTCCAAACCTCGTTCCACAGGCGTGGCCTCTGCAAGGGCATTATGAGATATTTCCTCGTGTTAGTCGGTACCCAGAAAATCGTCTCATTGTATCATAGTCCTATACTATCGTACCCAAACAGCAGCAGCAGCAGCAGCAGCAGCAGCAGCAGCAGCAGCAGCAGCAGCAGAACGAGGAGGACCAGGATATCCGCAGGCGACAGCGGCTGGGTCGTCGCGGGGGTCTCCGCGCTCGACGCTTGGGGCTTGGCCGGACTCGGCCCAGTGGAGACGGGGAGCACGAAGCTCGATCGTTGATTCGGAAGCCTGCGTCTAATTTGGCGATACCAGCGAGGAAGAGGGAAGGAGGACGAAGACCTCCCTTGCCCCCCCCACCCACCCCACCCTCCTGCCTCCTCCCTCCCTCCCCATGCTTCCCTTCTCCTCCCTTGACAATTACTCAAAATGAATACTACTCTCCCTCTTCCCCCGATGGCGGCCTGAAAGTAGCCGACCCCACCCCGCGTACTGTTTTTTTACACAGGATTCCCGGGAGTTGGGTTTTCGCATGCGTTTTTTTTCAAAATGCTGCTCTCGCTGAGGCGCCGGCCTCATTTCTGCTCCCGAATCGTTCCGAATCGTGCTCCCGCTGCAGCGTGGGCCTCATTTTCGGATCGGTGTTTGGCCTCCGTCGTTCAGGATGGCGTTCTCGCCCCAGCGCGGGCCTCTTTCTCGCGCGCCCATCCGCCCGCCACCACCGCGCCGCACCACCACCACCACCACCACCACCACCACCAACCCACCACCAGCACCAGCACCAGCCACCACCACCCCACAACCACGCACACACGCACGCACGCACGCACGCGCACCACCACCCACTACGCACGCGCGCGCGGAGCCACAGGTCCGCCACGACACGCGTCCGCGGATAGAGAAAATCAGCGCCATGGTAAGGGATGGGAGGGAGCGGTAGGACGTCAGATATGACGCGAGCGCACCTAGCTTGTCACTCTCTCCCCTCCCTCCCTTCCCTCTCCACCTTCCCCTCTGTTCCCTTCCCTTCCCTCGAGGAAGCTCGGTCGCTTCATGGTGTGCCCTCTTGCAGCCAGCAATCCAGACCCCCCTCCATCCATCTGTTCTCCACCCTTCTCCCTCGACAGGAAGCGGACGACGATTGGGGCAGGGAAACGCATTGGGAGAGGGATGAGGATGGGGGGGAGTAGAAGAAAGAAGATGAGGAGGAGGAAGAGGAGGAAGACGAGGAAGACTTGCCTGGATTTGCCCTCGGGATCAGATGACGATGAGCAGTGGCTACAGCCGCCAGCTGCCTCCTGCAAGGGCCGCGGCTAGCTAGGAGGGAACAAATCGCCTGCTGGTGATGTGTTCTAGGTGATCACTACGGTCGAGCATCTGATTAAGAAGCCTCCTCCCGAAAAGCTGGGCCAGCGTTTCTTCACCAACTTGCCAGGAAGCTGGCTCAGTTTCTTGAGACCGTTCGCCCCTCCAGTGTGAACAACATATTTTGGCCCAGATTTGTTTGAAGAAACTCAGAAAGCTGGCCCAGGTTTCTTACACGATGATTTTCTTAATCATCTGTTCGGCTGTATCATGCGGACTTCTTACGACGCTGCGGCTTGTGTAAGGTGTGAACCGTTCTGGGTATGCGACCGATGTGTGGACGACACAGCCTGACCACTCGTGGGGCCCGTCATTGGGATCTGAAGGAGGGCGAGCCGCCCGCTGGTGATGCGTTGTGGATCCTCGGCCAGTGCACTAACCCAACCATTGTGGCCCCCACTGTTGCTCCTTATGGGGGGGCACATGTGAATAGTGAGCCCTTCTGGATCCAATACAGGTGTGCGTTCCCAACCTCTGGGGCCACAGTTTGAGTCCCCACGCCGAGCAGGGAGTCAGCCTGTTTGGGTTAATGACCAGCATGCGGACACAACGAAGTGGAGCACCAGGACCAGACTAAAAAGGTGAGCATTGGATGCCGCACCGCAAAGATGACAACGAGAGCGAGGACCCAACTCCTGGGAGGGCAGGAGGAAAAACGAAGTGCCCTTGCACAGGGCTCAACCGAAACGGTGTTTGGGCGATTTCGTGGGCTGCTTTCGTCTTGATTTCGTTTCGCAGCGAGGGCAGAGCGACGCCAGAACGAGGGAGCACAAAGACGAAATGAGAACGAGGAACGATGCGCTGGTCGAGCCCTGCTCTTGCACGTCCTCTTTTCTCCCCCCTCCTCGCCCAGCTCGTCCTCCAGCCCAGCTCCACCGGCCTGCAGAGGCAGGTCTCGCACACACCCCCGCGCTGGGGCGGGGGAGGCGAAGCCCTCGTCAGTCACGGCCAGGATCCGGCGCTCCTGCCGCCCAGGCGCAGGCCTCGGTCGGTACGGTGCCGCCGCGCTGGCCCCAGAGGCCGCGCGCGTCACCGGTGTGTGGGAGTATACGCAGCGTCTCTCTCTCTCTCTCGCTCTCTCGCTCGCTCCCCTCGGCTATGACAAGACGAGGGTCATTGCTGCTGCAGGGCGAACACCCGTCCTCTCCTTCTCTTTCCTCTCCCTCCCCACCATTTCCATCCCTATCCTCGCCCTCGGGGCGGGAGGGAGGGGGGGCGAGAAGGGCGCGCGTTTGTGTGTGTGTGTGTGTTTGTGTGTGTGTGTGTGTGTGTGTTTGTGTGTGTGTGTGTGTGTGCGTGTTTGTGTGTGTGTGTGCATGTGTGTGCGTGTGCGTGTGTGTGTGTGCGTGTGTGTGTGTGTGTGTGTGTGTGTGTCTGTGTGTCTGTGTGGGGGGATCGACGCTCCAGGACATCGTCTACACCTGGGGGGTGCTCCATCACACTGGAGACATGTGGCAGGCCAAGCCTGCCAGCCCGGTGTGAAGCAGAGAATTCGATGGTAGTGGTCTTTGGCCTTTCTTTGTTGCATGCTTCGCGGTGAGTTCATGCGGTGTACTAGCCCGAAGCGTCTCTATCCCCTCTTGGATTTCGGGGGGGGAGAGGGCGAGAGAGAGAGAGAGAGAGAAAGAGAGACACACACACACACACACGCACACACACATACATATAGATATACACACAAGATTGCAGTGGCGCTTCGCGCCATGCACCTTAGTCCTTGAAGTTTGGCATGCAGGCGGAATGGCAGGAAGGTCAAGCCGACAATTTAGCGATAACTCGTTGTTGCCTTTTCCGGCATTGCCTCTATAGTAATATTGTTCGTTATCCTTCCTCCATGCTTCTTTCTCCTCGTTCTCACCATACCCTGCGCATTCTTCCCTATCCTCCTCAACTCTTTTTGCGGAGGCTCTTCCTTGAAGAGCCTCCGGGGGCCTCACAACAGTTCTGGCTTTCTTAAGGCCTTCTGGAGGCATCCTGGGCGTGTTTTGGGAGCCTCTGGGGGCTTCCTCGGTCTTAGGGCCATCTTGAACCCCTGTTGTGCCGTTTTGGGGCTCTCTTGGACTGCCTGGAAACCCTTTCGGATGGTTGTGGGGCGATTTGGGAGCCTCCCAGGTGGCTTCGGACGCCCAGAAGACCGCCGTCTTAGAGCGTCGGGAAGCCGAAAAGAGGAGAACCGCAAAATGCACCAAAAACCAACGGAAAATCAATGATTTTTCTCTCGGGGCCTTCTTGGAAGTGCTCTTAGAGGCCCCTTGGAACGTTCTGAGGCGATCTTTGGGGGTATGACGGCTTCTTGGGGGTCGTCGTGGACCGTATCGGGGCTCTCTGGGGTCGTTTCGGGAGCGCGCCAGAACGCCTGGAACCCGTCTGGGTCGGGAGCTGGGAGAGGGGGGTCAATGCAAACGGGGGTCAGCCAGAGCGCCCAATCTTGCAGGATCCTGCAGGGCCTGACCCGGGCTTGGGTGCAGGATCCTGGAGGATTTGCAGGATCCTTCGCATTGACCCGGGTTTGGGTGCAGGATCTTCCAGGATTCTGCAAGGTTTGACTGACTGACCTGGGTC